ATGTTGTCACACAAAGCGGAGGGACCTACAGTTTTACGCCGACTCCGAACGGCGATTGTATTTTTATGAGAAGCTGTTTTTCATGGCAGAAATACACTCGGAGGTTTGCCATTGCCTGCCGAGGAACGACCGCTGTTAAGAAAAAACCTTTTCTATATTTTTTTGTGATGTTGCTTTGACTAGGGCTTGAACCCAGGTGCTGCGGAGTGGAAGCGCGCACTGTTTACCACTGCACCACAGCGGCCGACCGTGCTTATTCATACCAAAATTAATTTCACGGAACTCCGGTGACTTTTCTACGGAACACTTGGGTTCCGCGGAACCCACTTTAAGAAGCTCTGCCCTACTACATACATATGTACATTAGGCTGGGTCGATTTTGTATGGAGGAAAATAAAAGGCATTTGACCGTATTATAATAGTTATATTATGATGTCTTAAGTCTAAGCCAATTGTTATTGGCCACGAAAGATTAATTTAAAACTTATCTTTAGCCCGCGCAATTGAATCAAAGTATAAATTTTGAAAATGAAACTTTGGCTTGTAATATCTATGGAATGCGTTAATTGTAATAAACAGGACGATATATCAACTTAAGGGTTATTAAATTTAGCACCACACGCTCATTTACAATTTTTCAATAAGTCTACAAGTTTTTAAGATATTAAGATAAAACTAACAAAAACTAAAATTTTACCTATGAATTTTCAATTCTTTATTACTTCAGCAACCAAGTGAAAAAAAAACAAGTGAGACGAGATTTATTTCAAACGGTTTAATGTTTTCGGATGTTTATGTAATACTAAAGGGACCATAGACTTGGTCACGCCGATTTGGTCAGTTTTCAAGATCGTGGTGAATGAAGTCAAGCATGTATTGTCAAAGATTAGGAATCTTTTGATAAGTTAATATTAGTTTCAAGCATATAAGTATTTACATATATTAACATAATACAATTAGGGTGATAAACACCCATTTTAAGTCCATTTATGCAGTCTTTAAAATTGGTGCGGAATGGTTTCATTAGTCACCGAAGAAGAACATTTTTCACGGTTTCTAAATTTGCCGTTATATGAAAGTAGGGGACGTGCAATAAATGTTTAGATATACTTAATATTTTAGTTAATTCAATTATGTGAAAAAGTGACAGTAGGTAAATGCAATAGTCTTTTACATATCCTGGGAAATCCTTTTGAGGACTCTCCATTTGGACGATATTGCTTTGCATTCAGCTTGAACGAAAAAAGTCACTCCGTGGCACACTTTTCTGTAATCCGATTCTTTCATTTAAACGTTATTTATACATTTGAAGAGAAATTTATTTAAAAAAAAACTGGAGATCCACTAAAGTCTTTCGATATAACTTTGGTAAATGTTACTCGATCTGTACGTAATAATTACCAAATTGAAGACGAGACTTAGTGTTACTGATTTATGATAATAATATGATGAAAATCGTTCAGATTATAAACAAATTATTTCAAAATAAAAAAAACTGTTGAACAAACTGTTGAACTGTTGTCATCTTCCTATATTAGCAATTTTTTTATTGTATGCATAAACACAAGTAAACTAATTAGTGTTTCTAGAAGTTGCGCCTGTTCAGTGTTTCTATACTCATTCGCATAAACAAAAATTTTCCACGGTGATGGAAAATAATGGCTTTTCTATTAGAGCTACCGAAATTGTTCCTAAATTTGCAAAAAGATTAGAATATTTGAAATCAGCGACCTAAATGCGCGCCAGTAATATTAATGCTGTTGTTTACATCTTTTGGCTATAGGCCAGTGCAATTATTAAGAGCACAATTAAAATTTGATTGAAAAAAGATAGCTTTGAGATTAACGATAGGCTAAAGGGCTGCGAGAAATGATATTTGACTTTATCTGTTGCGTTAACGGATTCATTATCTAATAATATGCACCAAACCTTTTTGCTGAACCCAGAAATTTTAACAAGAATTGGTCTTATTCGACTAGTGAGCTGTGGGTCTCTTGGCGTTGGATGCGCGGGCTTTTACAATTAAAATAAAAGACTGCAATTTTGCAGGCTTGTTGTTGACTTCATAATACAATATATTTTCACTATTACCAAGGGATTTGACCAAAATTAGATTTTCGACCCGCCCTAATGTTCATATATGTACTACGGATTTCACCAACCGATGAGGGTAATATGTACACATTCACGCATTTCTAATAAATTCACTCTTTATTTACAGGTTCGCAGTATCAACGAAAATCGTGGCGCGGTCGAACGTCTAACATTTAATAACCACACCGAATGTCACTGTGTAGAAAAATCTATGCAACAGGTGGAGGAGTATTATCATCTGCCACTCTACGGTATATCGTTCGGTGGAGAGACACTCCGAAGAGCTACCATTTTCAACTGTAACTGTCCCAAGTTGTACGAAAAAATTTTGCAGGAGGACGATTTCTGCCGATGTGACTGCTCTTCCGGTAACACCGGTTGTGATTGGCTCAAGAGGGGCATGGAGCATTTCTCGATGATTGATCGGAAGTTAGTTCACAAATATCCCAATTTATATTTTCTCCCAGTTTAGTCTGGAATTTATAACGTAGTCATGTATTTTTCAGATGCATATCCGAAGGACGTTGCAAGGCGCCTACATGTGAGCATGGGACCTATATCAAAAAGTACGGACGATGTCCCAAACGGGAGGAGCAATTTTCGACGTCATTGTCTGCCCCAGAGACGTTGAAAAACAATGCGTTTCTGCCCATTAATTACCATTGAATGGAATTATTAATACTATATATTTTTTGGTGCAACTAAAATTAAGTATTAATAAAAACGTTTAAATAGAGGTAGCAATTTATTTGATAAAAGTATATATTTGCATAGGAATCTTAAAAGAGTTAATGTACAACAAGAAAATGGAATTTATGCAGTATTGAACGTTATGCAATAACATTTACATGCAATTTTAAATCCGAAAGCAATGATCATCTGTGTTAAGAAGTATGTAGGTGATTTCAATTTTCCACATTCATTCAATTGCACGTATCGCTAGCTTATAGTGAAAAGTGGTTAAGTTCACCTTTTATGAAAAATTCCATACAGGAAGCGGGAAGTATTAAAAATGCATCGTTTCCAAAAAGACCGAATTACTTAGAAGCAAAGCGAAAAAAAAAATCTATAAATCTAAAAGAACTCAAACAGTTTTCATTAATCTGTTTGCTAGGTTGGAGCTGCTTCCGCCCATGGGAGTAAAATCGAAAATAAGATTTTTCCTTTTCCCTCCTACGCGTTTGAAAGCATTTCGAGTAACCCTCAGGGAGCCTGTTTTATTAAACAATAAAAAATAACATACATTACAATTACAAATAAATTGTTGAACATTTTTTCAACTCACATTAAATTTGATAACTGCACATATATCACAGGGGAATTTACACACTAGGCACTACTATTATACAGAAACTTGTTTGTTGCTTTTATTTATATTCGCGGTTTTTATCACAGCTGTGTAGGCATTATTTGTTTTGTCGAGTTACATCTTCTTCTTAAGCAATAACAAACATGAAACCATGATAAAGAAACTTGCTATATTATAAAGCAATATGCAAAAATATGAAGATCCTGCCGAAACAAAAAGAGTGATTAAAGTTTCTACTTTGATGCAAAGACCCACCATATCTATAAGGAAAAAAAGGAGACACTAATTCATTGTTTCCAATTAGATACAACCAAGCGGGAACTTAGGAAATTGGAACAATGTTTCCTGCTCAAAATTCTTAATCTGGAAATTAGAGAAACTAATATAAATATAACAAGTAAGAAAGTCCAAGTTCGGGTGAAGCCGAACACTAAATACCCGGCGCACGTGTTAAATATTGTTTACGTGGGCGTAACCAGGTAAGGGCTATATATATATATATATAATGGTACCCTGAAATGCTAGCTTAATAATTTTGAGACGGACGAAAGGATTGACAGACATTCACGGTTTAATCCATTTCTCTTTTTACCCTGAGCATTTATGTATACATTTGTCTATATTTAAATCGATTGCTTTAGGCTGTTACAAACAACCGTTATGGGAACCATATGTAATACTTCTATATTGGCAATTTCTAAAAGTGCAATTCAAACCATTACAGTAGGGATACATATATAGCAAAAAGAATGAGAAAACCGAGCAAGCATAAGGGAAAATCTAAAAAACAGGTACACTTTCAAAATAAAAAGTTAAATTTTTTGATTTGTGGGCACACTTATGTTTTTTAAATGATTCTATTCGTAATCTCTTAATTAATCGATACGTGTAATTCATTTTCATAAAGTGCTTCAAAAGTTAGACGAGGAGTAAACGTTTAGATCGCTGAAATAGAAAACAAAAAATAATTTGTGTTCAAATTACGCTGTGAAAATTGTAAGATTTGAAAGTTGAACTCACCTACTACTTACTTTGAAAGTTGAACTCACTTTCGAGATAACGGTACTTTAAAATTTTATTAAATTCTAACTCTTTTGTAAATAACTCCCTCAGTTTTGAAGTTATTTCACTAAAGNATATAGACGAGATTTGGAAGTTTTTATCCAGACGTCCAATCGACATGTTTTAGGTATCGTTGGAAAGGCCTTGCAGAGTGTGTTCAAAAAATATATTCCAGCTTCATAAACGATTAACCAGATTCCTAAAAATTAGGCTAAAGTGTTGCGAAACAAAAAACGTATTTTTGCTTTTGCCGGTTTTAGTGGGTAAGTGGGTACACCCAGCCCATATTGAGTTCCGGCTACTAGTTGGAAAGATATAGAGCTAAATTGGTGTAGCGTCTGTACGTACCTTCATTTAATTTTTTTCAAACTTTCAGGAATTAAAGTACGAAAAAAAGTAAGAAGGTTTGTGCCAGGATATTTCCATTCGTATGCCTTTGTGGGCGTGGCTGGTGCCTGAAATTCGATAAAAGGCAAATTTTAAACTATCACTGAGGCCGCACAACTCATTCCATACTATTGACGTGGATATCAGTAGAAGGCCCTTGAAACAAGCTACCTAACGCTGTCTTTTTCGTTTATAAAATATAAATATGTCAACGTTATCGCCTGAAAACTAAAGATCGGTCTGCTGAAAATATAGATTTCGAGCATTTTCTCAAAAACTGGTCAGTCGATTTTATGTTAGGTTTCCTCAAGTTTAGCCCAAAACCTTAGCTTTCATTTGGTATACAACTTATATCTGGGAAAACCCTTGTTGTGGAGATATTGCGATTCAAATTAAAAAAAGTCGCTCCAAAGAGCGACAAATGGTTCACAATTTACATATTCGTCTATTTGTTTACTTTAAGTTATCAACATAACATACAGGGTGTCCCAGAAGTAACGTGCCAAACTTTAGGGGAAGGTAGGTGGGGGGGGTGAGCTCCCTGATAAACAAAAAATTTTCAGGTAAAAGTGTCACCGTTTTTGAAATATTTACATTTTTTCGAATTTAAAAAAAAATCGTGCCTTTTCATGTGTTTTCTTTAACTGCAACTACAAACCGGGCAATACTTAGTAAATTTTTTATGTAAAATACTTCCAGATAGTTGCCTCTCCATACTCAAATGCAATGTAGTTAAAATA